ATATTGTTATATTTGACCATAATTTTTGTAGATAAATAAAAAAAATCCAGTATTTTAATATATATATATATATATATATATATATATATGTATATTTGTTGGAATAGCTCTTCTACATTACACACATTACTTGAGATAAAAGAATTTACAAATTTTCCAACATATTATTAAATTTTGAGAATCTACATGTTATTTTTTAATGGTCTTTTTAAATTAAAGCTTTATAGTGAAGTATAGATGTCTAAAATACAAAGATGTTGTATAACTCAGAAATTGAATGCAATTGTAAAATAAACTTAAAATATATTATGTATGTAATACAATGAAGAAGTTTGTTGATGATATTAATTTAAAGAGGAGTTGCTTAATATTGTTAAATTTCTTTTATTTCTATTTTTTGCTTACAAAAGCTCTTTTGACCCAAATGCATTAGCAACACTTGTCAAAGAAGACACTTATATTCCAGAATTATTCCAGAATCTTGTTTATACCTTAAATTGTTTATGATTTGTCAAAGTCAAAGACAAAGCAAAAAAATATATAACAAGATGTAGCAAAATTATCTATAGAGATTGGCCTAATTTATTTTTCACTCTTGTGATATTGTAGATTCTTTGGTGTTTATTTATGCAATTGTTTTTGGGCATGTTGAACTTGAACATGTAAAGCTTGCTACAACAAAAGAACAAGGGATGTCCATGCTAGTAACTTTTGTATTAAAATAGTAATGTGTTTATTTGCACATTGTCAAAATTTTAAAAAATAAAACTATATGTGATGTCTAATAGTCTCTGTATTTAATAATTAAAAGAATAAAGACTACTACATAACGGCATATTTAAAATTCTTTTTGTCTCCATTGCTAAAATTTTTTATTAAATAAAGAGATTCTTTTTTAACAAAGTTGTCAATTCAAAAAAAATTCTTAATCAACTATAGTACTAAAATTCTCAGATATTTCTTATTGTAATATGTTTTTTAAAAATTTAAAAATTCTTCAAAAAATATACTTTAAAAAATACACATTATGTTGCACATAAACATACACTGCAAAACTCACATTAAATCTTTTTAATCAACAATTCACACACTATTATCAATAAAAACTACATCTTTTCAAGCAGTCACATTTTGAAATAAGAAAGAGAATTCTGCGAGTACTACTACAAATAATATTCACATCTAAGTTAATACTAAATTGATGCTCCAAAAGAAAAGCAATGACTCACAAACACAAAGCTAGTATAGCTGTGTAAGTATGTTTATATATATATATATATATATATATATTCATTCATTCATTCATTCATGACTGGTGCACCCAAATTGTCATAGGTGGCCCTCTTAGATTAATCCAAAGAAGCATAAGCTCTCTTTGGGTCAGTGATAAAAAGGTCCCATTCTATCAACATTCACTGCTTTTTCAGTTGTTGAAAAAGGTTCTGAAAATGATTCACCACAAAAGTAAACCACACTACCACTCCCCCAAAATTTCTTAGTTACTCCCCCAAATCCAAAAAGAAGAATCAGAAGCTGAAAGAAAGAAAATCCCACTAAAGAATCAATCTAAGTGCTGCGTAAAAACCACATGGTTTTAAATTCTTCATACATAAATCTACTCAAACAAATTTACTATAGTACTAAAAGGCACCATGGATGGGAGGTGGATAACCATGAAACAGCCAACGAAAACATGTTGTCGTCGTTGATTTTCATCACTGAAAAAACCCAAAGCATAACAAGGGTAAGCTTCTCATTCTGTACAATCTTGTGCGAAAAAAAACACAGAGCTCACACATCATGGCCGATGTAACAAAACACATGCTCGGCAATGCCGTCGATGCGGGATCAATGTGAGCTTTTGCGGTGCAGGCGAAGCAGTCAAAGCTTGAAGAAGACGAAGAGGAAGAGGAGGAAGAAGAAGAAGAAGAAGATCCACGATGCGTCGAGCACGAAAACCATGCTTGCTTTGTGGCTTTTATTTTTATTTTTATATATAATAAAATTATTATTATTATTATTATTATTTGTTTTTTGTTTTCTGGAGGTGGGGCCATGTGTGCAGTGTGCTCGACAATCTCAGAATCACATCACAACACCGTGAAGAGCAGGTGTTCTGTCTACTGTCTTCTGCCCCTTGTAGGTTGCACGTCTAGATGCACCAACATCATCAACAACAACAACAACAGAACCTGGGGCTGAAACGATCGGAAGGTGCTCGATGTGGGAGAAGTGGATGTCGATCACAGTCTGAGCGAAATCGAGGCCATTTACTTTCGAAGCGTGCAGATGTGTGACTAGTAGACTTGATCTCGTCCACTTGGAACACTGTGGCCTCAGATAATCGACTCGGTAAATGAAGGACAAAAGTTCCTTTGTTGGTGTAAAGCGGACGCCATAACGCATCATCTTCACGCCTACTAGACAGAAAAATTTAAAAAAATCTAAAAAAAACTCATGATTGGCATGGTGTAAATTTGCGAGCTGAGAGCGAGATGGAGGTTTCAGAATCGGGTGTGGGTGATTTGATGTGCTTTGCGTTGAAAATAGTTGGTCTGTGGGGTATATCTCTTCCCCACCTTTTTCAGTGGTGTAGCCCCAACCTGCCGTGGAATTATCCGAATCATGGATCCTCCCGAAGCTACAGTGAAAAGACAAGATGAATCTGTTGGTCATGTTTTTCGGATGGTGCTCGGCTGCACACCACCCATCGCACTTGGACCCGTTCCGGATCACCACATCATCCCCATCCTGCTGCTTGCGCTTGCCGTAGCTTTGCAGGGTGCTTTGCCTGTGTTAAGGTCAATGGCAGCGACACCCGAGAATAACAATAAAAAGCTTCGTTTCCATCTTCACGTCAGTGTTGGGATTCTACAAGGCCTTGACCCAAGATACAGGTCGTAGCTCAACATCTTAGCTCCAGTCTCCAAGGTTCAAGAATCGTTTCTTCTCACCCGAAACAGCTGAATCATAAGTCCGCACTGATTCTTCCAGTCAACATTAATAATCTAGCACAAATAGAGATTTGTTCCTTTCCTGAAGCATGTTTCAACTCCCTCTGGACTCCGCTGAAATGGGGTCCATGCTTCAAAGACGCGTTACAGTGGTGCAGCTTAACATGGGAACGTTTCTTGAGTTTCATAGAAGAAGATGAAGAAGAAGAAACAGACGAAGGATGAACTGTGGAGGATCTGGTTCAATTTGGATGGGACCTTCCAACGCTGCTCCTTCGGTGATATGCGTGTAAATGGTGGCAGGTCTGATGATAATATTTTGCTGTGCATGACTAAACCTTCTGTATTTCATGTAAGGCGACGCTGAATAGCTCGTTCCGTGTGTTGTGTTTGGGCACTAGATCATGCTCATCTACATCAATGGATCTTCGGAATCACCCGTGAATTTAAGTGAATGCAGGTGTAATTGAAAGGAAGTAGGTGTATACCACGTCCATATCCTTGCAGCGTTTTATTAATTGGCGGCCAGGTTTTTGCATTACTTCAAATATGATGTACGAGACAAAATCGAAGAGAGATCGAAATGAAAAGCACGAAGTGTGGCGCAAATTCGATGAATCCTTCAGAGGGGAGAAGTTGGCCTGATGAGTCCTTCAGACTGACATGGGATGTTCAAAAGATTGTCTGCCTATCAACAATGAGACACACCACAACTAAGCAGCAGGCCGTGAAGTCGAAATTTTCGTGAACCAATGCTTGACACGGGAATTGGGCACATCAGGATAATAAATAAACATACTATTCTCTTCAAGTTTCGATTCGAAGCAACTCTTCGTCCCGGGAACTTTTCTACGCGCTTGACTTGGAGACAACCTCTACATTCTTAATGAATTCACAGATCGCCTTCACGTGTAGACCAAAGTGAAAAGTCCACAGAAAAGAAAATATCAAATGCTGATATAACTGATTTCGTCTTCACCTCTCCTTGCACTATTGACTAGAAGCTAGCCCTGCTCCACTGTTCCATTCATTGCGTTAAACAGTGACTGCAGTGGAAGGAAATCGAATGTTTACAGCAGATGACGAGGAGCAGGTTTTGAGCGAGTGATGGCAAAAGTTGGAAAATTTCAACTAGCATCTGAGCTCACGTAACGAAGCCCATCAGAAGCCAACAATTGCTTCGGAAAAAGCTTCTCATTCTCATTAAATCTCGGTCAAGCGACAATCTCTCTCACACTAGCCAGGTTTACCTATGCCACGAACTCATAAACGAACTCATTAAGGAGAGTTAACGAGACACAGCAGTTGGGAATAGTGAGGGAGCTATCTGAGACCATAGTGTCCACTTTCTGTCATTAAATCTGGTGTTGAATCTCATACAATAGAAAGAGCTCATCGGTTTGGTTCATAATATTTTCCAGAGCATGTAGGCAAGCAAGGAGCACAGAAACCATGATTAGTTTCAGTATGCGTCTCTTTTTATTGAAGAAATTTATTTTATTTATCTGTTCAGTGGATACCTCATTGGAGCTGCTACCAGTGCCTTCAAGCAATCAAATCACATCCACAATTTCCGCGCGGATTCAGCTACACAATTCAGATTCCCATGAAAACTGCTTGAATGTTCACTCCATTGACATCTACAACGATATGAAGAATGGATGAAGTGCGACTCGCACTCCAGCGCGAGTGGGCAAATGATGGAGAAGATAGTCATGGATAGCACAAAGTGGCCCTGCAAATAGAGACTGATTCGGAGACTGCAAAGATTAACGTGGTCTTTGCGAAAAGAAACTCAGCCATTGCTTCAGACCTGGGGTGGCAATAACTGAAGGAGGGTTCTCATGAATCCAGACCTCAATTCGCTGTACAGTGAGCTCAGTGTAGTTTCTCTCCGCATTGAAAGTTTATTGCTTCGAGGTTGGGGAGATATCCGAGAACGTAATCTTGAACGCTAATTCGGTCGCGTGAAATCTGTTGCGAAGCAGCCAATGGTTGCGAAGCTGACAGGCCCCATCCACTTGGAAGCGGGATGATCGACACGACTTCGTTTTTCGGTGGATGAATCCGAATGCTGGTTGTTGGCGATGTTGGGATTGCGGGCTTGCGAATAGGGTTGGCATGAGCCAGGTCCCACAAACGTCTTTCCTTCTCGTCCAAGGCCTGACGAACGAAACCCGGAGCTTTTTTGGCTTAATGTGCTCGTGTGAGCGATCCCTGGAGCAGCATTCGACGATGGAGGTCCTACTCCAGCCTGCTCCTGTGCGAGCTTCGACAGCTTTCCTTTCAAATGGCGAGGCCGCTGAATCGAGCCATAGGTTTTCAACGCTGTCTTCGTCACGGACACTTTGTGTAGAACGGAGGTCCGGTGTTGGAAATGGTGCAAGCTGGAGGTTTGATGTGCCTCCTCAGTCCTGCAGGAAGGTTTCTGCAGGATTTGTTGGTATTAGCGAGCGTGTTGAGCCTGATTCGCAGATGGGTTCGTTGCCTCGCACCAGGGTTTGGGACTCAAAGGTTTCGAAATGGAGTCAAATGGGTCGGAAACAAGGTCGGAGTCTTCATGTTGTCTGTGCAGCAGAGAGTGACGGAGAGACGACCAGGAGTAAGCTCGGGAGTATCATAAAAAATAAGCAGAGGATTCTGGAATCGCAATTGAGGGGAATGGCGGAAGGAGAACTGGAGTCGAAATTGGCACTGACGAAAGCGGTGATGAAGCCGTATAACCTTCTTGATACCATTGCACAGCAGATTATGGAGGGGCGCACTTCCGTTGTTGTTGAAGCTGCCCGCTTATCACCCTCAGAAACGCCTGAAATGCTTGCAGAGCGTTGTGTGAAATACGTGGAATGGGGTAAGTTATATTTGTGAATCTATTTGTGAATTGGCCCGTTGATTGTTGTAGAATTGTCCAGAATGACGCATTAGTCCTGTGCTCGCTCTGGGTTTAAGAGACATGTCGTTCGGTTCGTGTCTATCTGTCGAGTTTGTTGTGTTGCCAAACGCCCACTATTCTTCAAGGAAATGAAATTGTATTGACGAGAGGTAGAGTGCATATTTAGGGTATTAATTATGAACACCTGCTTTTCAATAGGTATTATGCACTGTTGTATAGGGTACAACTCTTCTTTGCAACTTTTCTAGCGAATCGGTTGTTCATTCACTGTAATCTGCAGGGTAAAACAGGATCCTATATGAAAACCCTTTCACAATACAATGCGTGGTCATTGATTTTTTGAGTCGAATCTCTCGTAGCCTCCCGTAAACAGAGTACCACGTCGCAACACTCTCTTGTGTTTAGGGTTTCTTTTTCTTTTCGATCAGATGAATGATGAAGACATTGACAAACTGCACTGTTCCTGTGAATAGGAGCTACCGCTATATCAGTCTGTACCGATGAGGAAAGCTCTCCAAACGGTTTGGCAGACTTGACTGCAGTATGTCAAGGTATGGCCACTTTTCTGTTTTACATCACTATTTTGCAATTCAAATCACTCACTCAGAGGTTGCCTTCAATCATTGCCTAAATTACCGAAGCTATAATTCTTCGAATTCAACTTTTTGGAAATGCGGATGTTTCTTTCTGCTTTAGAAATTAACCAGAGAACACCGTATTTTCTTCTTGCAGCTGTCACAGTACCTGTTCTACGGAGGGATTGGATCATCCACCCATTGCAGGTAAGGATCTGCATTTTGTAAGAGCACATGTTTTCCAGGAAGCCCAGTACGATGAAAATCATCTGAATGAGATGGCCGTTCTTTAGTATTTTTTGGAGATGGAATGGAATACCAGCACTCAGTTGATCGGATAGATGGTCAATTTTCACGAAATCAGCGGATTGTAATCTGACTGAAAGCAGTTGGAGGCTTTGCATTTTCAGATGATAAATTCGATTTCATTGTGACCTAGCGCCTTCTACTCAATATGTTGCGATTACAAGCACTCTAGCGCAACATGATGATAATTGTGAAATTGATAGGTGGCCTTGTAATTTACAGATTGCGGACACATGTGAGGCAGGTGCCACTGCCCTGACAACAGTTTATTCTATTCTTAGCAAAGGTGACAATCAAGACTTTTCCGTACAAACTATGTGGTTGCAACTGGATCTTCAGAAGGGGTAGTGGACGAAGTTTAAAAGTGCATTTAGAAACAGAATATTCGACCGTTTTTGACCTGAAACAAGGAAACCTTTGAGTGAGGGATTGTAATGATGAGCCACTCTTACAAGGACGGGGACAATTCTGAATGCACTAAGCTGACGACCTTGCATATTGTTTCACATCTACACATCTATGTTTGAGGAAGTGATCTACGCAATAGAAGTTGACATTTTGTGCTCCATATCTTCTGCAGGATTGCCAGCTATCTTGAACTACGCAGTCTCGCTGGGTCTCGATGCTGTCGTTGAGGTCAGGGTTCTCACCATTCATCTCATTTCTAATTACAGATGTTATGGTGATTGATCGGTGTGCACAGTCTGTTAAACCATGCATATTTGCGAGGACTTTTGGGAATTTGAACAACACTCTTGAATTCATGGCTATCTTGAGGGTTTTTTCTTCTCAAAAACGGTGGAGAGAGATGCTGAGGATGTTGTATTTACAAACAGGGGGTCATAATTTTGATAAATGTATTACAATTTTGAAGCAACTTTGAATAGTCACACGCAAATGATGGACACTGTCAGGTCATAAACATGAAGGAGTTGCAGGAAGTTGCAACACTTGGAATACCCATCTATGGCATCAACCTCTCTGTCGGCCTTGCGGTATGTGTTCCTTTGCACGACTACATGAACTATTTGTACTTTCTTCCTCGTGACATTTTAATCTCATCCTAGACGACTTCAGCAGGACAATTGTGAAATTTTTATTTACATGTCAACTTTGGGATCTTTTAGAACATCAGAGTTCTTACATGAATCTTCATCAACAGATATCCATGCCGTCAATAAGACAAGATATTTCTAAGTCATTGATTGGGGAGATCCCTTTTGGAGCTTCATCCATGGTGGTAAGTCTCCTTGCCAAGTCTTGTGAGAAGTTTGTAGCCACTACTAATGCACTCTTGAGTGGAGTGACTCACACAAATCTCTTTCAACTTATTCTCTTCTTGGTTACAAACTTTATGCTTTCCTCCCGTCGGAATGACGTTCTAAGTCGTTAATTCGTGCTCTTTGTGATTTTAGTTATCTGGATGGTTTTGTCTTAAATTTTCTGGCACTCGTTTAGGGCGTTTACTCCATCGAAGAGGCGAGAACAATGAAGATAGCGGGTGCTGATGCCGTGTATATCAAGCACGAGGTTTTACATGGTCCACAAGCGACTGAGAAGAATGCCCAAGTTTTTCTAGAAAACCTGCGGGAAGCTATGTCTGGCGACGACTAGTAGTATGGCTTTTGTTGTTGAACTGAGTCCCATGTACACTTCTGCTCCTGTATTGGCTATTGAATGTTATTTGAGCGTGAAAATTTTCATTTCCTTTACTTTTGAACTCTTCTTCAGGCATTGCCATTCTTCGCATTAGTGGAGACTTGGATGGTGTTTGTCGACTGTTTTCTCAAGTAATTAGTCGAACAGACTGTGTTGCAGTGGCAGCTCTATTGTTGAAGACTGAATGGAATTTCGTGGCATCGACAATTCCAGAGTTATTTGGTGACGAATCACAGCATTGTCATGCAGGATGATCTAGTTGGCTCATCATTGATGAACATGTCTAACTCTTCATGAACACATCCATCTGAACTGTTGGCACAGAATCGTATGTGGCGATCTTGACCAACCTTTTCTGTTGTTTCTTCCTCCCTGTAATTGAACTTTATTGTAAGCTCCCTGTGGTGGTTGTTTCCAAGGAGGCATTTAACGAACCTGAGATGTTCGGGTCAGCCTAGGATAGTTTGTTTAATCATTGAAACATATGCTGCAAAAGTTGAACTAAACTGCTTAGTGCACTAAAGATATATCACTCGTTTCTTGTCTTCTGATAGAATAACCCGTGATGTGGAGCCATTATCAGTAACAACCGCTTGAGGCTTAAGAGGTTCACATCATGTTTTAAGGAAAGATGCTACAAGTCCCATCCTGTCGAAGGAACAATGTCACTACAATCAGGACAAGAGAACAGTGCATTTTAGTCCTCATTAATAATTATCATAATGATAGACTTATTGCTTTGCTCTCAATTTTATTTGTTTTTGGTCTTAGTGATGGATTTTTCCATCATTCTTTGTTTGCTCTAATTTTATTTATTTAATTATTTATATTATTATTTGGTGCCAGATGTTAAATTTGTTGATTTCTGTTAGGTGAATGTAGGTTTTGGTTGTACATTTTTGTTTTCACCATTCTTGATTATATTTATTTTGGACTTGTTGAAAGTTGTTTTATTCATTTGCTAGTCTATGCCATTTATATTTATTTTGTAGACATATTTGTTTTTGTATGAAAATGTGTAGAGCAATTTGTTACATGTATCTTGCAAATTTTTACATGCTATAGAATTAAGTCATGTTTGTTTTGTTGTTATTATGGTATTCTGGTTTATTTAATTTATGTTTTTAATTAAATTTGTGTTTGGTTTAATCACCAAAAAGTTTAGGATATTAATTCTACATAATATATATATTTTTTTAAAATTTTTCCACCCAATCTGTCACGTGGTCTTGCAATCTGCTTATTAATTTAAATATGACATGGATTTTTATTGCAATCTACAAATCCCTGTCTCTGTAAAAAAACAAGCATCAAAGTTTGGAACCCACAAAACTCTTTATGCCACTCATGTTTGTGAACATCTACAAATTCAAATACTACCAAAAGCTGAGGTTTGGTTTGTGAAATTTCCTCACATGTGACAACAACCTCATGTGTAAACTTTTATGCATCCCATAAGTGTGGAAGCTTAGCTCTTGTGATCATTGCAAAATTGCTTGAAATTTTGTTCTACAATCAGTTTTTTGAATTTAATTTCATCACCCTTCTATTCTATGTTGTTTCAATGTTAGTTGATGCAATGTTCATCTTACAGAATATGTTCTGTAATTAACAAGTTTGTTCTGTAATCAATGTGGTTGAGTCATTGATGCAGTTGTACTAGCTTAGAAAAATTATTACAAAAGGGGTTTTTGAGATGTAGAATCATAGGTGCTTGCAACCCATTCTATTGTTATGTTCTCATGTTAATTGAATACGTATTTGAGCAGCATTTGGGTCCATTGTTGCAGCATTTATGTCAACAACTTTTAGAGTTGTGGTGACTAATTTGTGTAATTGTTGTAGATTTTTTTGGAGGTTTGGGCTGAGTTCCGATAATTTCTCCATCATAATTGTGACTTTTGTTGTATCTAAGATTTTGTCCCAAGTTGGAATACCCAATTGTGTTTTGAGTTCTTATATTGTCATTTTGAGATTGTGTAATTGTTTCCAATGTTGTGGAAGTAAGGTTATTGGGATTCTACCTAGTATTCCATTGTTTCCAAATCTTTGTCTTTTTACAATTGGATTATTATACCAAAAATCATTAAAACACTTGTACTTGTATCCTTCAACTTGAAAATTATCACACCATCTTTACAATCTTGGCCCTTTTTTTGAGATGTGAGCCATTGTAGTTTATATATCAAACAATTTTGTTGGTGATATTGGATGGATTTATAGTTCCTACAACCATTGTTTATATGCAACTATTGATTCAATTAAAATGTATTGTAATAGACTTTATCTAGATGTAATATTAGCAATGATTACATTCCAAGCTCATTGTTTAGATTTTGAGGATTCCATTTGCAAGGTAGTTGATGTTTATAATTGCAAATGTTATACATAGGTAGTTGTTATACTAACTTTAGTGGCAGTATGTTACAACTAACGACATTATTTGATTATCTAGAAATTTGTTTAGCCACATCTATTATTTTGCGCAAAAAGATAATATATATATAAATTAATCATTGTTGAAGTAAAATATGTAAATCTTGTTAGAACTAATTACATAATATGGAGTCATTGATTGGTGTTTCTAATTTATCCAATATTTTCTTGAATCAATTATAAAAGACATCTATTGATTTGTTTAGGTGTTGTCTAACTACCTGTCATAGACATTTACATGTAAACTAATAATTACCTATACGATTTAGATAAAAGTAAGTAAATATAGATTAATTCTATAATATCTTCTATAAAAACTTCATAGAAGCTTTATTGACATTGCTTTGACTTTATAGGTGTCTTTAATTGACTTTTTAGATTAAAAGCATGGTCAACAAGTTGGCCATGTGCCACACATGTTGGTAGCTTGATGTCATGGACAAGAACTCGATAAAAAAATAATTCAAACAAGTGAGCATTCACTCAAAGAGAGGTAACAAAATATATAAGTATATATATTGAAAGAGAAACTGGAATGGCTATTGCCAAAAGACAAGAAAACTAGAGACCCTTGAAACTAGACTAGAAGCAAGAAAGGAGTTGACAAGAGTGAAGAAGCCTTCACTCTTGTCTCTATATATACTATCTAACTAGGGGCTACGTGGCGACGTTCTATAGGACCTCCAATGTGTGTTGACTTTATAGGACACATGCCTTGACTTACAAGGCAAGTTTTTCTACGTGTGGGCCACATAGTTAGCTTGATCTTCAAGCTAACAACATGTGTGGCACATGGCCAACTTGTTGACCACGTTTCTAATCCAAAAAGTCAATTAAAGACACCTATGAAGTCAAAGCAGTATCTAGAAAGTTTCTAGGAAGCTTCCATATTAAATATTATAGAATTAACTTACTTTTATTTACTTTTACTTACTTCTACCTATTTCTATATGTGATTATTAGCTTACATGATTATGGCCGTGACATTACCCCCCTTCTAGAGACGAGTTCCACGAGGAGCGGTCATCATATGTTGAGGAAATCTATGATGCGACGAATTGTATTCGCCACATATTCTGATCTCTATTCTCTTCGAAGATGATTGATAGGGCCTCTCAACCATCGGTAGTGTCCCATACCAGGGCGGGAAGACCACCCAGTTATTTGATCATTGTTGAGGCCTTCGTAACTTCCTTCGAATAGAATATTTCGAACACCATCAGGAGTTGTTCCTACCTCTAGCAAAATCACCAAACATCGGGAGTCCCTTCCCAAATCGTGATACCAAACGGGTTGTATCTCACCATCTATTCGAGGAAGAACATGTCGTTTTTGAAGATCTTCATCTCGATTGCGTCGTCTTGAAGGTTGTGACAATCGTAATGTCTCATCCGGTAAGTCAGCAAATGAAGGCTCTTGAGTTGAATCCGCTGGTTGTTGGTTCTCCATCTCCTGAGCACCACTACTACAACGAAGCTACGAACAAGAATTGAAAGCAGAATGTTATCTTGCCTAAATGTTGTTTCTTTTATAAAGAAGGTTTTCATCTTGATTTTGATGGATATCGTCGATGAAAAGCCTCCACTGCCTTTGCTGCATTTGCAAGATTCTTCATTGGCTCCCATGTGCGTTCACTAATACCATATCCGCGCCAATGGACAAGATATTCTATTTTATTTCGGCGCCGCCTTAAATCTAACACTTCTTCTACTTCAAACTCTTCATTATTGTTCACTTCTATAGGAGGAGGTGGAGCTTGTCGTCTTCTTCGTATGTCCACTGTCTTGTATGGTTCAAGAAGACACACGTGGAATATTGGATGGATTTTCATTATCTTCGGTAGATGTAAACGATATGCAACTGGTTTGATTTGTGCAGAAATAGAAAATGGTCCCAGCCTTCGATAGTCCAACTTGTCGCAAGGACGAGTGGTCTTGACATTACGACGAAGTAGCCATACGTTATCACCCACGTTGAGTTGTGGTTGCTCCTTACGATATAGATCTGCGTTTATCTTTTGTCGTTCTTGAGCTTCCTTCAATTGCGCCTTCATTATTGCATGTAACTCTGACAACCGATTTGCCATATCTTCTGCTGCAGGATTATCAACTTTTGAAAAATCAAAAGCATCAAGTCGTGGATGATAGCCATCATTGTCAAAGAAAGGTGTTTGTTGCGTGGAGGAATGTATTGTATTATTATAAGCAAACTCTGCCAATAGCAGAAGGATTGTCCAATCACCTTGTTGGTAGTTGATGGTACACCTTAAATACTGCTCCAAGACTTGATTTACGCGCTCTGTTTGTCCATCAGTTTGAGGATGGAAAGCCGAAGATAGCTTTATGTCCACTTTTAAAATCTTGAAAAGGGTCCTCCAGAATCTCGACACAAATTGAGTTCCCCTATCCGATATGATATCTTTAGGTAATCCATGATAGCGATAGATGTTATCAATGAAAAGCTTAGCTGTTTCTTCACCTGTGATAGATTTTGTATATGACACAAAATAAGCCATCTTGGTGAAACGATCTACTATCACAAATATAGAATCATAAGATCTTGAGCTTGGAAGATCTATGATGAAATCCATAGAAACAGAAGACCATGGTTGTTTTGGTATAGGTAATGGCTGAAGAAGTCCGTAAGGTCAATGACGAGGAGTTTTTGATCTTGAACAAATATTACGTGATTGTACAAAGTCTTTGACTGACTTCCACATTTGAGGCTACCAAAAATCTCTTGATATGAGTTCCAAAGTCTTATTATATCCAAAGTGTCCTGTTGCTGAAAAATCATGACGTGCTTGAAGAACACGTAAACGTGCTTCTCCTTCTGGAACATATAGGCGTCCTTCAAAATGTAAT